TCACCGCCGCTTGAAAGAGACGGGCCGGGGGTGGGTAGAAAGGCGCTGGGCGCCCTTGGAGGAGAAGGTCCCACGTTCGCCTGTCTGCCCGCAGATGTCAGCGGAGCTTTGCCGCTGCTTCGTCCGGGGTCTCTGGGCAAACACGTCCACCCGAGCGGGGCTTGTCGCCTCCGGCACGCAACGAGCGCTGTCCTCGGATTCCCTGTTCAGTTGCCCCCCTTTTGAGGGCGATGGCAGTAAACTGTTCCCGTAGCAGCGGCTGCTCCTCTTTCCCGGCTGGGCTGGTGAATGGGGCTTCACAGAGTTAAGACTGTATGGACTGTATGGATTCAATCTGGATTGGGATTAAAATGATTCTAGATTTACTAAACCCCAGTTACTTCTTCCTGGCCTGTCCCCTTGTTGGAGCCAACAGTGGTTTATGGTTCACTAAACCTTGGGGTACTTAGTGGGGTGTTCTGCTGAACTGTGACTGAAGCAGGCCAGTTACTTCTGCCCAGAGCACCAAGGAAAGTATCAGGATGCGGCCCAGGACCTGCATTTCAGGGGGCTCCCCTGGCGCTGATTAAAAAGCCAGATCTGAGCTGTGTTCAGACCAGCCTTTGCACCCTCGCCCTCTCTTTGGTGGGAACTACTGGGTTCTCCGAAGAGGGGTGGGGGCTGTTTTTGGCTCTGAATGTTATCACAACTTCACGTGGGTTCTGTCCTCCTTCAGGGCGGTCTGAATCAACCCGCCAGGCCAGAGTTGTAATTTGTTGCCTGGCTTCCTGCAATCACAACTACCCCACTACTCCAGGGTCAGATGGAGCAGAGACCTCATCAGGCTGGCCTCTCCCCCCCCCTTCTCAAGAGCCTGGAAGCTCTTCATGTCCTTCATGTGCAGCCTGGAAGAATGAATGACTTCCAAAGCTCTGGGCTCCATCAGGCCCCTGTCAGGTGCAAGTCCCAAATGGGGGTCAGGGTGTCCCTTCTCGGGAGGGGCGTGAGATTGCACAAGAAGCAGGAAAGAATCCCAGAACAGCTCCTGTGTAGTCACGTGTTCCCTTTTCCCCACCCTGGTGCTCCTCTCAGGTTTGCTAAAAACAAAACCACCCGGGTGACCCTCCTGCCTTCTGGAGGGCACAGGCGCCGGCAGAGTCCAGAGGGGAGCGCGGTGACCGTCCGGCTGGCAGGTGGGACTGCGAGCATTTGGGGGGACTTGGCTGCCTCAGGACCCGCATCCCCTGCTCTCCTCGAGGGAAGCGTGTCTTTCGCTTTGTGGTGGAGGAACCAGCCGGCAAGGCAACCAGGGGCGCCTCAGGCGTATCAGCGAGAGGGACGAATTCACGGCTTTGGAAGGCCGGACCAGAGCCCCCTCCCCCCCAGCCCCTCCGGGCAGAGGGGCCGGCCTCCTGGGACCAGCCGCTCCGGCGGAGAGAATTGCTGAGCCGAAGGTGCCCTGCGAAGCCTCGTTCACCAGCCCAGCTGGGAAAGAGGAGCAGCCGCTGCTATGGGAACAGTTTACTGCCATCGCCCTCAAAAGGGGGGCAACCGGACAGGGAATCCGAGGGCAGCGCTCGTTGCATGACGGAGGCGACAAGCCCCGCTCGGGTGGATGTGTTTGCCCAGAGACCCCGGATGAAGCAGCGGCAAAGCTCCGCTGACATCGCGGGCAGACAGGCGAACACGGGACCTTCTCCTCCAAGGGTGCCCGGCGCCTTTCTACCCACCCCCGACCCGTCTCTTTCAAGCGGCGGCGACTGCGGGGCGGCGGTCGTCCTGCGGGGACACCGGTGGGCGCGGAAAGAGGGGCGGGCAGGAGAAGCTCCTCTCCCGGCCCCCCCCCCGGGGGGGGTCTTCCCCTTCTCCCGGTACAGGGAGCTCCGCGGTGCTGGGCAGGTGCCAAAGACGACGCTCGGGGCTCAGTCGGAACCGTCCGGCATGCCCAATCCGATGCTAACGCAGCGGCTGCGCGCAGCTTCGCTCCAGCGGCGGCCTTCCAAGCCGTGGCCTTTCCCTTCCCGAGGCGACGCGGGACTGGGGCCGCACCGGCGGCAGCAACTCCCAACAGCCCCAGCCGGGAAGGGAAAGGCAAAAAGCGCTTTGCCTTTCCCTTCCCGAGGTGACGCAGGACTGGGGCCGCACTGGCGGCAGCAACTCCCAACAGCCCCAGCTGGACACCTGAGCGGAGCCCGGGCGGAACTGCCTGTTGCCGCCGTGGGCGCCGTTGCGGGCACCCGGCTGCCCAAGTAAAGAACAGGGCTGCGCCGGACCATCGGAGAAGAGGAGCAAAGCCGGACACCAGCAGCCGCCTCCCTCGGCACAGAAAGCCTCCCCCAACCAGCCGGCCGGTCTCCTCCTCCTCGGTCACACAGAACAAACAGGCAGAGAAGGAGGAGAGCAGCTGGCCAGCCGGGGGAGGCCTCCCGTGCTGCGAAAGAGGCAGCCAATGATGTCCGGCGCCGTCCTGCTCCACGCGCTGGCTACTCGGACTTGCCGGGCCTGGCACATAGAACAGGGCGGTGCCGGATGTTGGAGAAGCTGAGCGGAGCCGAAGCGACCTCGGCTCGCGTTGTTTTCTGAGCCCGCGAGCCTAGAGCCAGGGCGCTTTCATTGCACTGCGGAGCTTCTTGTCTCGGGAAAAACCGGCCATCGTTGCTGCCCCCTGAGGGGAGGGCGATTCTGGGCTGCGCGATTGGGGGACTTCGTGGCTTTGGGTGGGAGCGAGGACGGACAGAGTCTGTGAAGCGGGGCTTGCCTGCCCTTGCTGGCTGCCTCTGCTTCCTTAGGGGCGGGGAAGGGGGCTCATCTGGACCAAGGGTGAGTCTCCCCCTCAGTTTCCCCTGAAGGATCTTTCGTCGCTTTTGCCTTCTCCCTACATCTTCCCTCTGTTAAAATTCCCCCCCCCCACACACACACACACTTATTTTCGGGCGGATAGATTTCATGTCTGAGCATTCTCACATGACGGGGGGTCTTTCCCCCCCCTAAAAACAGTTAAAAAAAGAAAAAATATATCCTCATGCAAGAACTTTTCTGCTTCCGATTACCCCCATGCTTAAAAGTTGCAAAGGAAACACGGAAGCAGGGAAGCGCCTGCCCAGCTCCGGAGCTCTACACCATTTTTTTTTCAGAGGGGAATCTGACTCGAATATAAGCCGAGGGGGATTTTTTCAGCACAAAAAATGGGCTGAAAAACTCGGCTTATACTCGAGTGTATACGGTAACTTTCTATGATTTGATATTTTAATTTAACTATTTTGGGGGGAAATACATTATTGGCAGAGAGAAAAAAGAGTCCAAAAACATTGGCTCAACAATTATGTTGAGATTAAGTGTTATTTATACAACAAAAAATATATAAGTTGCAGTTACCTGCCAAAATTGTCTATGCTGTCCTTTCCTGTCTCTGTTGACCACTGTTGTTTTGTCTTTGAATCTGAATAATGACATGTCTTGCAGAGCATGAGCTACTGCATAGATGGTATTGTAGATGCTATAACTATGGCCAGTCATGCTCATTTCAAACAATGAATCAGGAAGGCTCTCCAGCTTCTCCTTCCCTGAACAAATATTCTTCATATTATTGCCTCCAGCTGCGTGTGGGAGCCTACAATTGAAGGCAGCTTCCCAGAAGGTTTTTATAAAATCATCTTCAGGTACATGAAAAGGATTTTGTCTCTCAAGAAATTGGGGAAATCCTGGTATGTAACTAACATGAATTGTGAAAGCTAGGGAACCATCAAACAAGTCTTCTTTCCAGTCCTTTTGGTAGATGAATCCAGTTTGCTCCACCTGAGCCGTTCTTATCCACACTTTACCTTTTAGTGTATGGTTCTCCAATAAAATTGCAATCCATCTAAAATATGCCATAGAATAAGATTCTCCATAGGCTACAATGACATTTGCTTTTGTCTGTATTAGTTTATAGCTTATCTTTTCTCCCTCTTCCATCATTTTATCAAATACAATAGCGTAGCTTAATGTAGGGATTCTTTCAATGAGGGCAAAACAAACACCACTCTGTGAAAACAATGGAACAATGGTTTGTAGAAATCTTTCTCCATTGTCATTATCCATCACAATGATCCCAACCCATGTCCATCTGAAATGCAGAAGCAGAGCAAGAATTCCCTCATACTGAAGATCCTCCTGAGGAATCATTTGATAGGAAGAAATGCTTTCAGCTTCCTTATTTCTCATAGAAGCAGGACTGTAGATTAACTGAATATTTATATGAAAAGGAAAAGATTGAAAGGATACCATTATATTTTGCTTTCAAATATTCAAGCACTTCACTCTCAGCACCTATTTTGAGTAATTTTGCTTAATTATTCTTTTACTTTGATTGAGACTGGAAAATAAGAAAAGACTGAAAGTTTTAGGTGGAAGGTTGCCATACAAATGAATTTTCAAGTAGATGTGCTCTAATTTTAGGAATGTGACCTTTATTGCTTTCCTTTATTGCCTCTATATTCTATTTATCCTGATTTATTGCTACATACATCTTTTAATTGTGCTTCTTCTGGAATTTAAATTTCCACCATCAGAAATATGATAGTTTACCTTTCTTCCCTTCCCAATTTTTGAGTAATATAACACTGCTTTATTTTACTAGCTTTAATTTAAAAAAATTAAAAACCCTCCATGTACATTAGTATTCAAACTGTGGAATTATTAATCAGCCAAGTCAATAAATTTTCAGAATCATTGTTGCAAGGAATATTTGAAAAGGTAAACATCTGAATTATTTGTATCAAAGAATAGGAATATATAATTTTGTAAGTAGATTAGAGGGAATTTAAACATTGGCAATGGTCATGAAAGTTAGCCATAGGATCAGATCTTTGCTTATGACAAAAATGAAACCGCTGATTTCTAATACTATTACTTACTTTGGCTATAATTTTAATTGCTTTCAAATTTGTGTGTCCAATCCATAAAACAGAATCTATAAATGCAAACACTCATACCAAAGATCTTAGTTTATTGAACATATACATAGATTATTTAGACTTTACCTGTGGAATCTTGTAGGTATTTACAAGTGTTGCAATATGAAGGGAGGTTTGGGCATCAAGACCACCAATGACTGCTATAACATTATTCTGAGTATCACATGAATAGTTCGGGACAAATTTCTCAAAAGAAGATATAAGAAGCAATGTGGCATGATATGTCCACTGTGCATTGAAATAGCTGTCATAAATGTGGAAACCCAGGGTGAGATTAGTCAAAATCAGAGGGGTTTCATTGATTTCCTTTACTGCAAATGTCAAGGCCAGGATATGCTGGTAATTCTTAAGCAGTAAACTAGAAGAAGAGTTGCAACTCATATCAGAAGAAGAATTCACCTTTAAAAAATAATTGTCACTGTCACTGATCTACACTATGTTCATTAGAAGTTATTATATTTAATCTGTTTTCTATGGAAATTATTAGCATAAGGTAGTCTAATCATTAGAAAAATCAACCACATTAATGTTGAACTTAGTATTTTATATAAAATAAATATTTCTGAAGTATTTGCAAAATAATAATTATTTTAGCAATGAAAGACAATGCATTTTTCTAATATCCCCAATCTTATATCATACACATTCTTACTTTATAATATTTTAATTCTACTATCTATGTATTAATAAGTACAGCAAGAAAACATTTCCATTTTTAATAGTTTGATAACAGAATAAATTTATGGTAAAAAAATCAATTTATTTAATATTATAAATGTGAACCCCAGCTGTGATATATCATTGCAGTAGTTTTCATTGGGAAAAATCACATCTGGCAAAATTTGTCACTATATTCCAAACATCTGACTCTGCCTTATGAAATTGGCTGCATGCCTGCCTGTCCATCTATCTATCTGACCTTCCTTAAGTACATTAAAATTAATTCTTACTTGAAATCAGCAGCTGATGCTGGCATAGGATATTCTATGAACTCTATTTCATTATTAGATAAAATAAAATTCTGAGATACAATTACACCAATTATGTAGTCTCCTGCCTGATGATATTTGTGGATTGAGTTGTGTGGATGATGGATTCTGCATCCTACAATGTAAGGCTCACATATTGTATGAGGAAATATCACTAGTAGCAAGAAGTATAATACCATCATCCTAAGTGAATCTGCTCCTAATTATTTTTTCACTTATAACACCTTCATAACAATCCCAAATCCAAAATTATGGAGGGTTGATTTGAATTTATCCTGCTAAATTTAGAAAGTGTAAATGTTAAACCATCAGCCAGATCCTTGCCTACTCTTTACTTCTAACAATTAGTAGGCAAACATGATTCCATAGAGGATGACTAGAAAAACATTAATTATAGCAATTTCAACAAGATGGCAGTTTCCCAAAAATACATGTGAAAATTCCAGAAAAAACAACAGTGGCCCCATACTCTGAACAGAAGTCCTCTCTTCTACTTAAATGGAAAAGAATGAATCAGAATCAGAATAGAGCTGGAAGAAACCTTGAAGTCTTCTAGTCCAACCCCCTGATCAAGCAGGAGACCTTATACCATTTCAGACATGTTACTGTCCAGTCTCTTCTTAACCCCCCCCCAGTGATGAAGCACCCCCAAATTCTGAAGGCAAACTTTTTAACATTTTTTTTTTGTAATGTTGTGACCAAAACTGGAAGGGGTATTCCAGGTGTGGTCTTACTAAGGTTTTATAAAAGTGGTATTAATACTTCACATGATTTTGATTCTATGCTTCTGTTTATACAAATAAGTGATCACTAGGACTTCAAAGTCCCTCTCACAGTTATTGTTTTTGAGTCAGGTTTTGCCTAATCTGTTCTTATACCTTTGGTATTTCCTACCCAGGTATAAAACTATGTTTTTCTCCACATTAAATTTTATTTTGCTGGATAGGATCTAATGTTCAAGTTTGTCAAAAACATTTTGGATCCTGAGCTTGTTTTCTGAGGTATTTGCTATTCTTGTCAGCTTAGTGTCATCTGCAAATTTGATGAGTTCCCCTTCTATTCCTCATCTAAATCATGTATGAAGATATTGAAGAGTGCTGGGCATAAGATAGAACCTTATGGTATCCCACTGCTTACTTCCCTCCATGTAGATGTACTATTATTAAAGACTACTAATTGAGTACCTGAACAGGGTTTTTCATATGCTTATTATTTTGGTGATAACTGTGCAGATGAGAATTATAATAAGTGAATAATAAAATTGTGCTCTATAAATATTGCAATATCCACAATGAAATATGAGCATGTGGTATCATAATATATGATTATAGGTCTTTACTGATTAACTTATAACTTTAATGAAATTTTTCCCACATTCAGCACTGCATGAGTGGAACTATATTGACATATTTTAGTGGCTTCTCTCAAAGTTCTCCTTTTCTTTCCAATATAATTGGCAGAAATGATGAATAAATTAAGTAAAAGAATAAAATATATTCCTAGCACTGACCATCACTGCGGTGTGGCAGAGAAAAAAACTAAAACCTCCTGTACTAATGGTTCATGTGCCCTGTAAATATATTCTTAATTAAGAACAGATATGCACATTGGGAAAAGACCTTCTTTCCCAATGATAAAAGCTATAATATTTAAAGACAGATAACACCAGTCCTTTTCCACACCACTTAAATAGTCTCAGCTCCCATTGGACACAGAATGATGGAGGTAACAAAAAGAAATGGCTGCATCCATCCTTAAGACCATTGAAAAAGACTTTTGACTCCTAGGACAGATTTGTCTATTTACAAGATCCACAATCATGGCCAACCTCAACTTATTAAATGACATTTACATTAAGAGCGATAAACTTGCTTAAATCTTAGCACCTGTCTAAGCCTACTCATCTATTGATACTAGATTCTCAATTAAAAATTAACCCGTTGCCATAAATCAGGGTTGCTAGTCAATTTCTTTAAACAGTCTGTATGCAAGTAATCCCACACACTGTATAGAAAAATTGCTGAGTCTATAATGCCAATTAGACACTACTGTTTTTTTACCTAACTAGGCACCAATAATGCTTCCTTTCCTTTCAAAGCACATAGACAAGAACAAAAAAAAACTTATTAGGATATTAGAGAACAAAAACAAGTTGTGTCCCTTTTCAGAATTTTTAAGGTCACTTATTTAGCCTTATTTATTTTACTTTAGCTTACTTATTTATTTCATACTTTTCATACATGCAATCCAAGCCAGAAGACAATTCAAATAGAAGAGAATATATGTAGCTCAGTGTTGAAGTTTCATATCCTTACTGCTCTCTGAAATTGGTTGTTTGCTTGTAGATGTTTAACTACCTGAATAGTTGATAAGGTAATAAAACATCTGCAACTAACCAAGCTCAAAGAGCCATCAAAGACAATTCCTATGAAGACCATCATTCCAACACCAAAAGAATGAAATAATCCTTCCTACTTTTACATGATCTTCTATGCTTCATTAAAGGACTCTAAAAGAGATCGCAAAGGATAAAACAAAATTATTCCACCAACATCTATTATCTCTTTATATTCCAATTTAGCTGCTAATTGTCTACAGAATATTGTAATTTCCCAGTTGTTCTCCAGAGTGAAATTTCAAAAGAAATTTTTTTTGGGTCAATGCCAACAGTATGAACAAAAATGAAAGCTGCACACTTCCTCAAGCAAGAGTTTTGTCTGTTTGATACGCTCTGTTAGGAATAACATTGTTTACCCTAACTGGTTTGGGTAAAAATAATAAATAAGTTATCATGGTTTGTTGGTTAAAGTGTGTGTAACTTTAACTACAAGAATGTAATTAAGGGTGTGGTTGTAAAAGCACCATAAAAGAAGCAAGTCAATTGCAGCTCTCTCTCTCTGGCTTAATGATCCCTAATTACTGGATGGATTGATGACTGCATTTTTCCTTACTGGAACGGAGGAGAGGAAGGAGTGTTGATTTCTCAATGGAGAGAAGAGATAATACGGACTCATTTATTGTAAGTGAATTGACATTGACTATTCAACACGGACTTTGCAAATTGAGTATCCTCGACTTGACTAACTGAAATGATACATGACTAATGGACCGTTTATTTTGACTATGCTATAATTCCTAATGGAATAAACTATATTTTTGATAGCACAAGCGTATCTGCTTTTTACTGCGTGTTAACTAAAATACAAACTTATCTCACACATTTACCTGTCTGCCTATCTGACTACGCTACACATTCTGTTTAGTTTGTTTTCCTTAACACTCGTTGGGGAATTCAGGCTTAACATGCTCTGAAACCATGTTATTGATCAATTTACCATACAATAAGAAAATAAACTCTCCATCCATCCATCCACTAAAAATAATCAGTCTATAGTTAATTTTTTCTCTTTATTCCCAGTGAAAATGACATAGATGATTCTCTAGTTTCCTCTAAGATCCATGATCAACCAGCCATACATCATCAAAAACAAAAGAACCCATCATCTGTAAAAATAGAAGTAAGGCTATCTTCAAGATCTCCATCTCAGATCTAGCATCTGCTCATGGATAAACTACAAGGAACAGGACTCTTATATCCAATATCCACAGAAAGAGGCCAAAGCAACCTAGTATAGTATCAGAGGATCACAATCTACTAGAAAATTTCCCAAGAAAACCAGAAAATGTTCTTCATTTTTCCCATATGGAGGACATTGGATACATCATTCCCATATACAAAATTGTTTCCTTCATGGTGAAGAATAATGATCGAATTGTCTGGTATCCTACTTTCCATCCCTATTCTGCTGATGTTACATACATTAAATAGTTAAGGCTGGAACAGCCAAAGATCATTCTTTTTTAAAAACAAAATGGTAGGTAATTAGCATAAACAGATCCAGACATCATCTTTGTCTTTTTTGACAGAGAGAGGGACAGACAAACAGGCAGGCAGGCAGGCATGCAGAAAGGCAGACAGATAGATGTGTTATGTCTCACCTGTACAAAAGAGGTGAGAAGTCCAAATTTCCAACTGAATACAAACAAGCAAGCAAATCCAGTAATTATAGAGTTAACTCCTTGAGCCGATAAAGTTCTTGGCAGTCTCTCACACGCTGTCTGCCATGTCCGACAAGAAAGCAGGAATATAAATCACAAGCTATCACCACACAGAATAATCCGGAGCTCCTATGAATAAGTAACACGTTGTCCCGAACAAGTTCCCAGAGCGAACACACCCACTTTTATTCCCTGTGGGGCGTGTCAGTCCCTCAGCTCAGTCTCTGATTCATCCCTTCTTTCTGCGTTGCAGCTCGCACTTTTGCCTGTGACGTTGCCTCGCATCAAGCCAGCATTCCTCTGCTTGATTCTCAGTCAGAGACTCTGATACGCCCTCCTCCTTTTCCTGAT